GAAAGTCTGAGAAAACAATAATGTTTTATTTTCATTATCTACATTTCAATAATAATATCATTGAAATAATAATATAATATAATAACATAATCCGATTATGCTTTCAATATGTAAATATTTCCTTTCTCTCATTCAGTTTCATTTAGTTGGTCCAATCATAATACGTGGACCAGCTGATCAAGAAAAAAAAGAAAAGAAGAACCAAAAAAAAATATATATATATATATATTATATATATATATATATATAATATATATATATATATATATATATAGAGAGAGAGAGAGAGAGAGAGAGAGAGAGAGAGAGAGAGAGAGAGAGAGAGAGAGAGACATAGATATAAACACTAATTTCGAATGGTGAAACCACTTTTACTTGATATCAACATCAACATTTTTAAAGGAATAATAAGACGAAAGTTTTAACCTTCACCAGTAACTCCTTTTTTTCAAAACAACCAAACCAGCTTGAAATTCTTCAAACACTTCTTTTAACCCGCAGAAGTATTTAGTTATTCCTCAGACGCCATTGAGTCATGAAGAGGGAAAAATACTTTGATCTCAACAGAACCGGCGAGATCCTGATGAATACCTAAACTTCAGAGTAAAGAAAGTTGTTTGGGAGTTGACTCGTGTTGGTTTGGCTTGATTCCGCAAACCAGGCACGTGGTCGCTTAACTTGCACTCACAGCTTGTTCCAACTGTTAGAAACAGTTACGCCACTTTCAAAGACAAATAGATTTTTCCTCTGTAAAAGCGCGAGTTTATAAATGCATGCAAAAGATATATAAGAGAGATGTCTTATGTTGTGTACATATGTAGCATACCGTAGAGGATTAATACGTATGTTATACTGAACACATACACAAACACATCTATATCCACATCCACACACATCCTTCTATCTATCTCAGTCTTTCTATTTATCTATCTGTCTATTTATCTATCTACCTACCTACCTGTCTGCTTGTCCACCTGTCTACCTACCCATCTATGTATGTATGTATGTATGTATGTATGTATGTATTATATTTTACCTACCTACCTACCTATCTGCCTGTCCACCTATCTATCTATCTATCCAGCCGCCAACCGACCTACAACGGTCCACTCGCATACCACACCATTAAATCCCTTTAAGCGGTCACCGAACCTCCGCTCCCATTCACAAACTCTACGAAAGTGCTCACCGATCTTAGCAATGAGGTTCCCTTGCAAGTAGAGGATCCGGAGACGCGGGCACCAGCGATGGAGGTGTTCGATTTTCTCGATGTCTTGCTGGTGTAGAGAGATCTCTTCCAGCGTGGACAGCTCGCCTTCGTTGTGTTCTGCACGCTTTCGGACGAGCTCGACCGTGACTGGGGGCGATATTATGTTATGAGGAGGAAGGCTGTTTGATGTTAATAATGTTGATGTTGCAATGTATTGGTAATTATACAGTGATTGATGATGTATTATGTTGATGCATGTTATTTGTTGTTTGTTATGCTTAACACTTCTTGAGGAGAGATGTGTCAATAATAATGATATTTATAATAATAAGGATTTCAACAGGATTGTCAACAGAAACTACAACAAGGGATGGGTTTATCCTCTCGAAAATCCTAAAATCCCTTAAACCCTTCCCACGCCCGTAACGTGACATTTGAGAGAGAGAGAGAGAGAGAGAGAGAGAGAGAGAGAGAAGAGAGAGAGAGAGAGAGAGAGAGAGAGAGAGAGAGAGAGAGAGAGAGAGAGAGAGAGAGAGAGAGAGAGAGAGAGAGAGAGAGAGAGAGAGAGGAGAGAGAGAGAGAGAGAGAGAGAGACTCATTTCAAGTTATTACCTTGAGAAATTTTGAGTGTCAAGAGAGAGCTGACACTTAAATATATTGGATACTGGCACTAATAATTACTAAATGTTTACAGATCAGTGTGAATGTCATTTGCCCTTTTAGACTTAACTCAAATGTTCCTTAAAACGCAGGCCTTAGGGAGAGAAGAATACTGAAATAATTTTACATTTCCCTTCAGAAGCCGACTCTGTCTAGGTCTGTCATATTATTTCACAGTACCCTAAAGCCTTCGGTCGTAACATAGATATCCTGGAGCCATAGCTGACTATCACTATGGCAATATTAATACCTGAATGACAGTATAGTAGTTACATATGGGAAATGGTATAGAAGGATAATAGGTGGAAAACAAGCTTGTTGATATTATAGAGTGCAACATACCATCGTGAAATAATAATTAAAGTCCAAAAACTTTTTTCTTGTGAATAATACGCCACTTAATATCTATGGGGTATTATAAAATGCTATTAGTACAGTAATGATTGTACTCTGTGCTACACGCACACACGCGCGCGCGCGCGCACACACACACACACACACACACACACACACACACACACACACACACACACACACACATACATACATACATACACACACACACACACACACACACACACACACACACACACACACACACACACACACATACATACATACATACTTACACACACACACACACACACACACACACACACACACACACACACACACACACACACACACACACACACACACACACACACACACACACACACACTCACATCCCTTCATAAGTGACACATCAAAAGCAAAACGCATCGCACACTAACCCCGTGGAAATGAAAATCACTTACTCTTGCCCATTTCTGAAATGTGGTTTTCGTAGAGCTCTACTGGCCGGTGTACGTGACGCGAACTCAAAGTGGTATTGTGAAAACGAATTGCTGTTCATCCACCAGAAATTCAATTAACAGTCGGAGAGTGATGGGTTGTAGTGGGTATTTTTAGGTCTTACTAGTGGATAATTATAAATTTCGTTACTATTTAAATTAATGTTGAGTTTGATTATGAATAAATAGCCTTTGAAGTAGAAAACGCAGGGTTCATTAACATGCATTTAAAGCCTAACAGCGTTGACATATATCGCTCACAAAACCACATCAAAAGATTAGACCGAAAATCTGATCACAACGTCGTATCATCAAGTAAGCCACGTCGACTCAGCTCATTTCACAGGCCATTAGATTCCCATCACAATTTTTCCGGTGCTGGAAATGCGGCAGGCCTCAAAAATCAGCTGATGCGTCGTCTGCAGTTGTTTACGCCGGTTTCCATAGCAACGCAGCGTCTACTAGCAAACCGCACGAGAGACGCAAATTTCCCCTATATTCGTTCCAAAACACCCTTCAATCCGACCTTTTAACATCACAACCACTTAAAAAATACCCATTCCGAGAAGTCACACCACAACAACCTCCCTAAACTCCCCAAAAGAGCGCCATACGGGTCGAAAGACGAGCATCTCGCGCGTCCGGCAACCCCGATGGACGCAGGTGCAGCAGAAAGAAGGTCTTGGAAGAGGTGATGTCTGGCAGATTCAAGCAAGATCCTCCGAGTTCAGCCAGCTCTGACAGGTCGGTCTCGATCCTGGGGGCGAGGGGAGAGACTAGGACGCCGGGACTTGGCTGGGAGGGCGAGGGGGACGCGAGGGCGAGCTCCATGGCCAGGAAAATGAGGAGGAAAATGCATTGTGGGGAAGGGAAGGGAAGGGAGGGAGAAAGTGCAAGCAAAGATAAGCAAAGAGAGAGAGAGACACACGGAGGAGATGCAGCATCCTGGTTGAGGATCCTGTGAGGGAGAGAGGGCAGGCGGCATCCTGATGTGTATCCTACCAGGAGATGGAGGAAGAACAAGACAAAACGAGAGGAGAAAAGAGGAAAACAAGAAAAAAACGTAACAAAAACAAACCAGCGAGAAACTGCTAAAAGTTCCGAATTTTATTATCGATTTACATTTTTTTCCACATTTCCATAATGTGAAATGTTTAAATTATCTTATTTTTAACTGCGAATTACAGCACGACGCTTTTAATACCAAGAACCGGTTCTAAGAAGTTCAAACTGTTGCAATTCATGATAAATATTGCATGATTGATCCGTGTTGCAAATCCAGCTCAGTGCAGTTATTGTTGCAGTCAGCTGACTCGTGGTATTTGATTGTTTTCTGTCTAAGTGTTTTATTTTCTTTGATTATCTGTGTTTTTTCCAGCCTCTTCCTGACTATATTTGTTAGTCTTCTCATTTCCTTTTTCTTTTAACAATTTTTGTTTAGGTTTTACCTCCTTTTAAAAATCCTTCTTGCCTTTGTTATTGTTATTTCTTTCTTTTTTATTGTTTTAGTTATCTTTATTTTGCCTATTTGTGAAGTACTTTATTACTTTGTTTTGAGTACCCAGTAGGCAAAGTGAAGAACATGTTAAGGTCTCATGGTGATAACTATTTTTTTTTTTTTTTTTTCATTTTTATTAACTTCAAAGCTGATTCTACAATATTTAGGAAAACCTTGTGTGAGCCAGTAAAGTGAGATCATTGATTTTTATTGATAGATTGATTGTACAGCTCATTCTGTCATTAATTATTATCATCGTTATTATTGCTATTTCTTTTTCATTTGTATTTTTGTTATTATCATCATTTTAGTACCATTATTATTTTTTATATTTTCGCCATATATTAGAATCCTCCCTTTTTTCTACATGACCTAAATTTTCTCTCCTCGTGTATTCATTCATATTGTTTCTTGTTTTTCTTTGAATCCCAGTTCTGCTTAGACATCTCTGCATCTAGATAAAGCATGTAATGTTATTATTATTATTTTTTTTTTTTTAAGATATATTGTGTTGGGTGACTAATTTTTTTTTTTTCTTTTTTTTGTAGAGGGAACTTGGTTATGGTTTTATGCTGTTAATTCAAATCTTTTCCATTAGTGATATAAGGAATTGTAATTATTAAAATTCTCAGCATTATCTGTTACTGTTATTATAATGTTGTATCATTTTGGTGAATGTTACTTAAGTCACTGTGGAAACGAGAATTTTTTGGGGGTATGTTTTTAGCATGTGGCAGTCATAGCTTTCACATTAAACAGTAAATGCATTCAAAGACACTTTTAATCTATTAGATTCGTGGAAGAGAATACCCATAAGAGCTATTCCTAAATTCATATGATAGCAACGAATAAGCTGAAACAGAGATACATTTGTTTGGAAATAAATTCACTGGCAAACAATACTTGGACATTTAGTTAAGATAACAGCCAACCAACATTTTATCATACAGCAACATCTGAATTATAATTAGGTGTTGGTATTTCACAATAAATGTGTTGAGTCAAAGTGGCAGTTACATTGTAGATTTAGCAGAAAGGAGGATATTTTATTTGCAATATGACATAAATATTGATGAGGTATCATTGAGTAAGAAACCAGTCTGAGCTCTGTCGTGAAAGAATGCACAAGGTGGATGTTTGTTAGCCATTAGCAATAGTGCTGCCAGGTGCATAGGCCACTGGGATGTGTAAGTTTTGTTAAAAAGACGTGTTTTACTCCAAGTTCCAAAATGTAATACGTATGGTGGTTTATACATCAGGTTTCTCAACCCTTTAGGATTTTTATAAAGAAAAAACAGCAAATCATTGGATTCAATCATGTGAAGAAAAAAAACACACATTGGATTCAATTTAATCACATGAAATTAGAGAAGAAAACATATTGTGTTCATAAAAACCATGATTGTCCTATTCCTAAAGTTTACTTTGTGTCCTTGTAATTCCATACTATATATGGACAGTGCATTTTCCAAATCCAATTGAAACTTGGGATCTGTGAAGGAAGACTTACAATCTTTGTTCAGCCTGATAATAGTGCGGCGTCCAGTTATAATTATGGCCTCTGTACCTTTGGGGCCTCTGGTAAAGGGTAAAAACCAACAGCACAAAAATTCTGGCATTTAGAATATATGTGGTGGAGGTTTATTGGAGTGCTGGGTAGGTGGAGAAGCAAATTATTTTGGGTGTTTGTTATGACAATATTTCTTGTTTTATTTTTTTATTAGAATTACTACATATATTTTTACCTTTCCTATAGATATCTTTCTTATCTTCATCACTTGTAATGTTGAATTTTATTACTATTGCTATTGTTTTTATTATTATTGTTATTATTATTGTTATTGTTATTATTAGTTATTGTTATTATTATTGTTATTGTATTATTGTATTGTTATTATTATTGTTATTATATTATTGTTATTGTTATAATTGTTATTATCATTATTTTTATTATTATTATTATTATTATTATATTGATATGGATATTAAAAAAGGATTTATAGCATATGACAAGAGGGCAACATCACTAGATAATTGACATACCTTTTGTAAGAGAAAGATATTTGATACAGTGTGTGTGTGTGTGTGTGTGTGTGTGTGTGTGCTTGTGTTTGTGTGTGCGTGTGCGTGTGCATGTGCGTGTGCGTGCGTGTATGTGTGCATGTATGTGTGTGCATGTGTGTGTGTGCATGTCAGTTTTATGTTGGAAACTAAGGAAAGGTGTTTCTTTTCTTCTCTTTTCTTTCTTAATTTCTTGTTTTTTCTATTGATCTTTTATTCTGAATAAGAAAAAGGAAAGAATAAAATTGAACCTGAATCTTTGCTGGAATTTGCATCAAAATTCTATTTGAGTGACAAGATCACCAAGAATTGTATTTAGTGGCATGAATGGGATTCAAATTTGATAATTGTTTGGGGACAAGTTCATCAGCAGAAAGTGCTTTTTATTGGCTTCAAATTCCGGGGCCGTAATGAATAGTGTGGAAACATTTACAGGAAATTAGATTTGGAGAGGGAAATGCATGATGATTTTGGAGTAGGAGTTTGAATTTATTTTACAATGCTTATATTTAAGTATGTATGTATGTATAGATATATTTGTATGTATATATATATATATGTATGTATATATATGTATGTATGTATATATATATGTATGTATGTATATATATATGTATATATGTATGTATGTATGTATATATATGTATGTATGTTATATATATATATGTATGTGTATATATGTATGTATGTATATGTATGTATATGTATGTATATATATATATATATATAATATTATATATATATAGTATATATATATATATATATATGTATGTGTATGTATATATATATATGTATATTATATATATATATGTAGTATGTTATATATATATGTATGTGTATATATGTATGTATATGTTATATATTTATATATGTATGTGTATGTATATATATATGTATGTGTATGTATATATATATATGTATATGTGTATGATATAGTATATATGTATATGGTATGTTATATATATATGTATGTGTATGTTATATATATGTATATATATATATATATATGTATATATGTAGTATATATGTATGTATATGCGTATATATGTATGTGTATGTATAATATGTATGTATGTATATATATGTATTATGTATATATGTATATGTATGTATATATTGTATAATGTATATGTAGTATATGTATATGTATATATGTATATATGTATATATATATGTATATATATATATATATATATATATATATATGTATATATGTATATATATATATATATATATGTGTGTGTGTGTGTGTTTGTGTGTTGAATATATATACATATATTATATATATATTATATAATATATATATGGATAGTACTACAATATACACAACACACACACACCACACCCACGCAGCACACACAATGCACACA